ACATGTTTTTTTGTTCTATATTAGCATAATTCCTTTAATGTTTCTAGTAACTGAGAGACGGCAAACTTGTATTTTCAAATTTAAGACATATTGATATCACTCAAATTACCCTAAAGAGTGAATTACTCTCTCAAATAAGAGGTTCAGTTGTATTACTTAGGGATTCGCATCCACAAGGAACTAAGGAACACAAAAGATATGATCCTAAGTGATTATGCTAGGTTAATTAAGGTTTAAAAGTAAATTGCAATTGTGAGCAATGGTGAGTTGCTCAAGAGAATTGGTTTTAGGTTTTAAACAATAAAAGAAAGTAGTTAGATTCAAGGTTACAATTAAGATAATTAGGATTATAATACTATAGATGTCTTTATAAGTTGCTTGCAAGATATTAAAGAACTTCAACTCTTAGATAAATCTATTAGCTATCGCTATTAGACTCGTCCATTGATCTGACTGCCGGCAATATCGACCGATGGGTTGATAGCGATATCGGACGATATGGGTAGCCGTCGATCGATTACTCTATAGGAGTATCGATCGATATAGCTTCAGATCGAATTGAATCTGTGTTCACCAAGATCATAGACCGGCTCTTGCTCGTCCCTAGAGGATCTCAGCTTATACCAGATGATTTCAGAATGATGATTAACAAGTTAAATCATTCCATGATCATACTTTAGTTAGCTACTCTATAGTAAGCATTAGGGTTCATCAGGATAATGAATATCACAACTCAACAATCCATAGTTGGGGCTAATCCTTCATAACCATTTGAACCCTAAATCTAACAAGTCAATCTAATCAGACATGGCTAAGTGATTCATAGCAGCAAGGTAATAATAGAAATTCATTAGAGTAGAAGATTGAACTCTTGGTTCTTTTGAACAACAAATCTCTTTGTGTGTTTCTTCTAAATCTAGAATTCTATAACCTTTATGAAAATGAGAATAAGATGAAAAGAATACTTTTATAAATCAAAGAACTAAGAATACAAAAAGCATTCAAAGCTTAAAAGGTACAAAAAGCATGTGAAAGCACACCAAGCATAAAAGCATGTGCATAACTATAAATATGAGTTCCATTAGGTTAAAAACTCGTCAGGGGAAATCTTGTAATATTGAGAGAACTTGGGCTTCAAGGCCGAGTCAACTTGTTCTTCACGCTTCACATCGATTGATGGTACATGGTGTAAATCGATCGATGGAGTATCTCAATTCGTCATCCTCTTCGGAAGCGTCGTCGATCGATTACACAGGATGTGTATCGATCGATATGTATCTCTGGATATCGACCTTATTGTTTGATCTTTATAGTCATTTCGGGAAATCTCTCCTTTAAGTCTATAAGGGCACCTAAATCATCACTTTACTCCAAAATGCTCATGCACCTGAAAACATACATAATAGACTCCAAAACACACACATATATATATATATATATATTATAAAATCATATAAATACCATGGTTAAAAGTGGGTCAAAACAATGCTATCACATATTTTTAACTTTCAAAAGTGTTAAGTAACTTCAAGAATATCAAGTCATATGGTTTGATGTATCTTCTTAGATCATAAGATATACTTTTTAACTTTCATGAAATTTAAAATTTTAATTTTCAATTAAAATTTTAGTTTTCACTTAAAATTTTGAGTTTTCCGGTTAATTTTGTTTTCTGCTTAAAATTTCCGCTTATTCTGAGGCAACTTCTCAGGTCTTCCAGAAGACTTCTAGTGAAAGTGTTCTATTTTTGAATTTCTAATGTTTGCTCTTTTGTGAATTTGACTAAATTTTCTTGAGAATTTTTCTCCGTTAATTGTAAGAAATTTGATTAACTTTTATCTTATTGTGTTTTACTATTGACGTTGTATCAATAATTTCAATAATGTCAGTAATATTTACAAGATAATATTGTAGACATGAACATATTTCCCAATTTTTTTTATTAGTATCTATTCAAATTTACAAAAGAATTCACAATTAAAAAAGTACACATACAAAACACAAATCAAACCATAAACAAAACTATTATAGATCTTTCCTTCACAAAGAAAAACTTGGACTCCACTTAACATGAGAGAAGACTCTGCCAGAAGACTTCCAGAAGATCCCTGGTAGTCGTCTAGTGCATTAAAGGTTAGAAGTCTAACGAGAAGACTTTCCTGAAAGTTTTCTAAGCCTGTCTCAAATCTGAAAAAATTACATATCCAAAAGCATTCAAATGGTTTCAAAATACAGAAAATCTTCAAGAATAAAGTAAGAGCTTAAAACAGCCAAAATAACTTTCAAAATGTAAGTTTTTTAAACAACAAGAGGTTACCAACTAAAAAATATGATTTATAGATCTATCTTTAAAGGAGTGAAAGATGAAAACTATGTAATGAAAAACTTACAAAACAAGATGAATTAGTGATAACTTGACAAAAGAATGATAAATCGATATAAAGTTTGGTGTTTTAGAAAACTGATAAATTGTGAAAAAGGTAAGAGTTTTAAGCAACCAGAAGTTACCAAATGAATAAAAAATCAAGTATAGAAACTTATCAAAACACTCAGATTTGTAATGATAGATGAGACATGGGAGAAAACTTTGTCAGAAGTCTTCTAGATATATAAGTCTTCTAGTGCATTAAATGTTAAGAATTTTTAGGAAAACTTTCAGATCTGAAAAACTTGCATATCCAAAAACATTAAAATGAATTCAAGACATAGAAAAACTTCAAAAATAAGGCAATAGCTTAAAACAACCAAAAGAGTTTTCCAAAGGTAAGAGTTTTAAGCAATAATAAGTTAACATGATTTTTAGATCTACCTTTAAAAGAGTTGAAGATGAGAACCTTGTAATGAAAAACCTGCAATAACAAAGTAAATGCGTGAGAAGACACGAAATAACAATAATAAATTGATATAAAGTTTGGTGTTTTTAAGTTCAAAGAGATTAGAGAGAGATTGAAGAGTTTTATAATTAGGAACACTACATTTTGTTGCAGCCATTTGAAAAGAAGAGAAAGAATGTGTAATTTTCTTTATATAGGGAGACAAAAATTCCAAAATATTTTCGATTCAAAAAACTTTCTAGAAGACTTACTTGAAACTTTGAAAGTCTTCTAAAAGACTTATTATTCGTCCAGAAGATTTCAATATTTTAAGCGGGAAACAAAAATATTTTTAACGGAAAACTAAAATATTTTTAACAGGAGTTAGAAGACTTTCGGAGAAGTCTTCTAACCGATAATACTAATCGCCAGAAGATTTCATGGAAGTCTTCTAGACCCTAAATATAAACCCTAAAATCAAATAACTAACTAAATAGAAATAAACACATCATTAAACTTAAAAAAAAGAATATAAACAAAAGTAAACACATATAGATCAAATTTTAATTTTTCAAAAAAATATTAAGCTTCCAAAATCTAACACTAAGAATACATATATTGTCAAACACTAAACCAAAGAATATCATGACTCACTACTACAACATATATTGCCAAACCCTAAACCAAAGAATATCATGACTTACTACTTTCACTTATATATGTTGAAATTAATTCAATTTTATTATATCTTAATTTATATAACTTATAATTGTTTATAATTACATGATTTCAATTTGTCTCTTATCAAAATTTTTTTTTTTTCATTTTAAAAATCAGTTTTATGATCAACTATATGAGGATACTTCCCTACACGTCTTTCAGAAGACCTACAATATCTCTGAAGACTTTTTGGGGTTATAATCGTAAATACAAATTTGGGTTTTTGTTTTGTCATAAGAGATTAGTTGTAATTTCACAAGACTTGTGAGTTAGTTTTGCATTTGATTGATGTTTGAATATACTTTTGTATTTAAAATCAAAATTTGAATCATATTTAACAAATTTCTCAGATTATATTAATGAAATAGACCCACTATCGCTTTCTATGGTTAGATAAAAACTGTGATTCTATTTTAATAGAATATATGTTTTTGTTTATAATAATTTTTATTTAACATTAATCCATAGTAATGTTTGTTAAAAAAGTACAAAAGATCTACATCTATCTATATGAAATTAATCATGGTATTATTTTAAAAAAATATTAATAATTTTTAGTAAGATTTTATTAAATTTTTTTGAACAGATTTTATTATAACAAAAAAATAATACTATTTATAGTTAAATTGATTTAGTATTAATATTCCTATGAATTAATAAGATTTTTTTTTTAAAAATCATATATGTTTAACTGATGGTAAATAATAAAAAATATATTAATGAAATGGTCTTATTATGGCTTTTTGTGATAGATAAAAATAAGACCCAAAAATTAATATTGATTTCATTATTGTATTATTACCGATATTCAACGTTGTTGAAAAAACAAATCTCCAAAATAGTACATTTTTAAGTCTATGTCACAAAATAACCCTCAAAAACTAAAATTACCAAAATAGCATTTTATCTTTTGAAAAATTGTTTAAAATTTTTTTTTTCAAAAATTGAAATCTTATCCTCAAAATCTCACTCTCCAACTCTAAACCCTAAATCCTAAATCCCACCCCTTAACTCTAAACCCTAATGTTTAAATTAATTTATCATTGAGATATAAATGTATATTTATCTCTTTTATAAAATATTAAGTGTTATTTGTCATATTTATTTTCAAGTACTATATTTGTGATAAATTTTTTTTTTTTGCTATCCTAGTCATTTTAGCTTTAAAACCTTTTAACATTTTCATTGACTAGTTAACGTCACCAGTCACCCCTACTATTACTAAAGGGTACTTCGGTCAATCTCACGCATAGTGGGCAAACATCTTCCAAGTCTTGATTACTAACCGTTGATCCTAATTCTAATCCAACGGTAGTCAATCCGATCCGCGTGATTGTTTTCTATTGGATAACCATAACTCACACGTCTCTACACGCAGTATATATAAATCCCGGATATCGTTGTGCCCATTGTATAATAATTTTTTTAGTACGCTTCCCTCTCTTCACTTTCGAAATTCACAAAAAAATGGCGGGTCGTGGAAAAACTCTCGGATCTGGGGTTGCTAAGAAAGCAACGTCTCGGAGCAGCAAGGCGGGTCTCCAGTTCCCCGTGGGTCGTATCGCCCGGTTCCTGAAGAACGGCAAATACGCCGAACGTGTTGGTGCCGGAGCTCCGGTTTACTTAGCCGCCGTACTCGAATACCTCGCCGCAGAGGTAATTAAAATTACTCAGTTATTTCGATTTTGTTATTTTAATTTAGTTAACCGGTTTGGTATTGTGGAAATTGGTTGTGATTAGGTTCTGGAATTGGCTGGAAACGCGGCGAGGGACAACAAGAAGACAAGAATCGTGCCGCGTCACATTCAATTGGCGGTGAGGAACGACGAGGAGCTGAGTAAGTTGCTTGGAGATGTTACGATTGCTAATGGAGGTGTGATGCCGAACATTCACAATCTTCTTCTTCCTAAGAAGGCTGGTGGTGCTTCAAAGCCTTCCGGTGATGATGAATAGATCTCAGTTTTCAGTTCTGTAATGTTTAGATTTAGATTAGTCTCTTTGGTTTTCTTCCTCTTGTTGTAGATTTAGTCACTCTTGTTTGGAACTCTTAACCTTTGTTTTCGCACAAACGTTTGCTGTGTGTTTCAATTGTAGTGTTAAATTTATCGTTACTTGTCTTGGTGATTTTAATTTGGTTCAAGAATGGAAGAACTTAGACGTTACTTGTCTGAATCAAACATAATACATTCTTTCATAACAAACATGGATAAGAGTTCTGTCTCGTCTTAAAGATTTATCTTGAACTCTTTTTTCTTTTGTTTGGGGGAAGTGCAGATAGAACATGAACATGACCAATGTTTTCTGTTGCAATCACCATAAAGAGACATAATTTGCCAATGTGCAACGGTGAAATCTCAGTTTGTGAGAAATGAGGCTTTTAACACCGGCATCTCATGGTCTCCTCCTCTGGTTGGCTATTTAAAGTGCAATGTTGACATAAGTTGGAACAGTGCAGACCGTAAGTGTGGAGCGTCGTGGATAATTAGAAATCATGTTGGTAAAGCTATGCTCCACAGTAGAAGAGCTTTCAGCGGTATTGGTTCAAAACTGGAAGCAGAGTTGCAAGGTCTTTGCTGGGTGATGGAAAGTCTAATATCTACACACCATACTAATATCATTGTGGAGTCAGGCTGTGAGATGGCGAGGGAGGCATTGTTGGATCCCTCTAGATTCTCCTGGTTCGGTGAGCTGTTAGACAAGATTACCCAAGCACTTCCGTCCCTGTACCCATGCTCTTTGGAACATGTTGTAAGTGCAAGGAATAAAGTTGCAGTAGAAATTGCAGTAATCATGACTAGAGACCACCGGTGTCAATCCTATGTTGCATTGGGTGGTCCTCGTAGGTTGTTGAGTAGACTGGAATCAGAAGCATGGAGAGCTAGTATTTGATGTTATTAGCGTGTGCTCTGGTCATGTGCAGGCTTTGGGTTGGGAGTTCTGTTTTTGCTCCTCTTACTACCCCTTTATAGCTTGTTTCTTTAATTTTCTTGCGTTTGAGTTGTGCTTGGTGCGTGGTTTTTTCCATTGCTTTGGCAAGTATTTTGTCCAACATTTGTTATGTTCCCCTATTATGAAACACTTGTTATAAAAAAGACACATTTTGATACAACACACATTCTCCTTACCAATGTCCTCTAACTAAGTCAAGACTTTCTATAGTTAAACTTTCCCCTTGGACTTTTTATTTAGTTATTCTTGGATTTGTTTAAAGAAATATCTACGATGTTATCCCTTCAGATCTAGAAAGTCATACGTCTCTCTTGATATCATATATATCAAGAAATTAAATCAATTTCCGATGTGAGGTTTCAAAGAAACAGAACCCTAATCTTCTAGGGCCGCTTGTTCTTTTTCCCCGTTGTCTCTCTCGATATACTCTGTCATCTCTCTCAATTTTTTTTTCTTAGACAACTATCACTTTCTCAAAGTAGAGAGATTCACAATCCCAAGTCTCGTGATGGCATCCTCCTCTGCAACTACGCTTCCGTGAACCGATTAACTGTCACATCTTAAGAGACGATGAGTCTCCTCCGACTTCTCATTCTTCTCATGCAATTGCGTCTCCGTGACTGCATCAAATTTTCATGTCGCTGTCTCCATCTCATCTCCGTTAACTACGACCACCGCGAGAGCCATCTCCTTCATCCAAGTATTCTCAATCGGGGAAATGATAGTTGGAATGAGCACAGATCGAAGCTTGGTTAGAGAGCATCAAAGCGAGTGGTTAGGTCTTCGATCCATTGTCCCCATTGCTGACAGAACCATTGTTACTTTAACCATCCACGCTTCCACTGACCACAATCACAAAGTTCAGGACTCTATCATCCACAAGACACTAGATCACATACATCATGTCCACACGACTCCTTCCCGTGATTGAATCATCTACAAAATCACCCATCCACATAATGTCTGTCCATATATCCATTTTCCAAACATTATGTATACTTTTGTAACATTTGTAGTTTCTAGAAATTTTGTACTTTTGATATCCCAACCACAACAATCATGTCCACAACAATCACGTTCATAACAATAACCATATGTAACTTACATACATACCTAACCATCATTTCTTATCTACGGATTTTTAACCACCACATCCTCTTGATTTGTTTATCCCAAAACGCACCGTTTAATTTATTGCAACTAAAATATGTTTCATTGGCTTTTTAAACAGACAAAATTATCTTCAGCAAAAATCAGGGGCATTTAAGTCCATACTAAGTGGATCCATACAAAGAAAGTGTGTTAAAAAGAGAATATGTTTTTTTTTTGGGGTAAATAAAAGACAAAATATATCTTTATGTATAACTCTCTCATAAACGGGCTATGTGCTTAACCGATTTAAGATTGTTTTTTTCTTTAGTTAAACGAACGTTTATTTAATTTTTTTTGTAGAGATATTATTTGAATCTTAATAATCTATGATGGTTAAACAAGAGGTAGGAATTTCGGTTAAAATTTGGATTCGATTGGATTTCTTTTTTTTTGGTCTAAGAAAACTTTAACCAAAACTAACCGAAATTAGTTTGGTTTAATTTGTGTTCGCTTTGATTTATTTAGGTTCGGTTTTAGTTATGTTTGGTTAGGTTTTGTTTCTGTTTGTTCAGTACAATTGAGTTGATTTTTTTTTTGTTTCAATTCAGTTACAAAAATATAATTTATAAAAACATAAAGCGAATCATTATTTCACACTAAATCATTATTTATTCATATTTAAACATAAATAAAAACATAGTGTACGGAAAAACAAAAAAAAAACACGTAAATTTAAACATCACAATAAAGATGTAAAAATCTTAATATGCTAATTTATATTATTGTTATTTTTAAATAGTATAAATGTCACGGTTTTTTTTATTTGTATGAGATCATATTATTTTATTTTATCTTTGTTTCTTATATTTATTTAGAAGCATGATGTACAAAATTATATTTAGTTTTTAGAAAAATGGTTAAATATATTTAATCTTAATATTATTAGTATATTTAGTTGATCTAATTAAAAAAATACTTTAGTTTTTCGATTTGGTTTAAAACCAAACCGAACCATTTGAGTTGATAAAATATTTAATTAAATGGTTTAGATATAACTAAATTTTATACTATAAACCGTAAATCATATTTTTCGTCAAAACCACAAATTTCAATTCCCGATAAAACCACTAAATTACGTTTTCTCAGCAAAATCGTGAAAGTTTATTGTCCTTTAAAATACAAAATTATATTTTCGGCCAAAATCATATTTTAAAGCAATAATATTTAGATAATTAATAAATAATACTTAGTTAAAAAGATGATTCTAAACAAGGGTATATTAGTTATTTGTTTATTTAATCTATCTAGATGAAAATAGAGATGAACAAAATTCATTTAGATGATTTATCTAAATAAAACATATATATGGATGAAGAAACGAACAATCTCTATTAATATCCAAATAATTCATTTGAGTAGATCATCAAAATGTATAATCTGAGTGGAAATGACATATGGACAAACAAACAACACCATGATCTTGGTTGAAAGTTTAGGTGTTCAGTTAACTTGGTCTAAACTTAGTTATTTCAGTTCGTTAATATTTTGGTTCAAAATATGGTTAACATGGTTCAGATTTTGTTTGTTAGAGTTAGTATGATTTGGTTATATTTTTCAATAGAATATGCAAAACTCGACCTAAAACATTATCGAAACAAACTAAATTGATAACCAAAATTTTAAAATATTTGTCAAATTGAGCCGAACTCAAAATATAACTTGAACCAAGAAACCAAAAAAAATTTGGTTCGGTTTGGGTCAAAATCTCAGCCCTAAGTTTGCTTATCACTTGGCCTAGGCTAAGGGTTCAGTTTCATGATAACTTCTACTTTCAGTTTATATTGCTCATGATTGATCATACTATCATCACACCATTACATGTTTACATGCTTATACGATAGAAAACTCTTTACAGGGGAGTTCTGTCTTAACAGTTATACAGGGAAAGTGAACACTGAACAAGAACACAATACACATTAGACACTACTAATCAAACTACCTCTTCCCAGTGACATATGAAAGCAAATCCTTATGGACCTTTCATTTAAAGAGTTGAAGGTTCGTGAACTGAGTAGAAGTCTAGGGCAAAAATAGAAGCAAGAGGATAAAGTCATTCCAAAAACATATAAAGAAAATGTTAAAACAAACCAATTGAGTTTTAAGAGAGTACAAGAAGCGGCAATGATCATATAGGAGAGAGATGAGTTAACTTAGACTTGCACAGAGCTTGGAACATAACAGCCCACAAAATTGTAAAGCCGTGAGTTTGAAGGTTTAATGAGATCCCTTTTTCTAAAATCACCATCCTCCCCATTAATGATATATGTATTTGTATTGTAACATCTGTCCCAGTCATCAAAAACCACAACGGTCTTCTTCACCTTGTCAATCAAGAAACTCCCAAACAAAAAACCACAATTGAGTTGCAACATTTGAACTTTGAAGAATTTGCTCCACGACACCGCATCGGGCTCGATCTTATCCGTAACCCAAACAACAAGCTTAGTACCATACTTGTGTTTTAACAACAACGCAAGCTTCTCTTCTTTAACCGAAGATAGAGACACATTGTATATTCCATAAAAAAAGTCAACTGGTGGAGGTAGACGCGGTCCAAACCTTTCTCTTGTAAAATCAAAACAGTGTAAGAAACCATCTCTTGATCTCTTATCATAAGCCAGCCAGTAAGTATTTCCCTTCAAAGACAAGCCAGGTTTATTATAGTCTATTACATTGCTGTGAAAAGCTACATCAGGAGTCTTCCATGAATCAGAACTCAAGTCGTAGATGTCGATGTGGATGACTATATTATCCTCACTGCTTAACCTAAGGATTTTGTGGGTACCACATGATTTGTCGTATCCAAAAGAAAATGTTTCATTAAGCCGTTCTGTTGGGCATATGATGCATCTTGTTTTACCCCAATACGGGTTGCAAACCAAAAGCCTACGTTCGTTGTTGCCTCTCCATAGACATAACAGTAGACCGTTGCAATAAAAGACACGATGTACAAAGACTACTGAATCTGAGTTTTCTCGTGTAATAAGTATACCTTTACGGTTTCTGGATGGATCAAAGATTTTGTTGTGAAAGTCGTAGAGGTTGACGCTAATCGAATCCTCTTTATTATTCACCGT